TTTTTCTTTTTTTCTTTTTTTTTTTTTTTTCTTTTTTTTTTTGAGAGAGAGAGAGAGACAGACAGACCGTGAATGGGGAAGGGGCTGAGAGAGAGAGATACACATATAATCCAAAGCAGACTCCAGGCTCCCAACTGTCAGCACAGAGCCCAATGCAGAGCTCAAACCTACAAACTGCAAGATTATGACCCAAGCCGAAGTGGGACGCCTAATCAACTGAATCACCCAGTGCCCCCAGAATTACATATTTATACATTGTATGCCCCAAAACATAAACTACTAATGTTTTAATGTATTAGTCTCTAAAATTATATAGAAAAAATTGTGGAATTACAAACCATTATTTCTTCAAATATTCTCTCTGCCTCTTTCTCTCTCTTCTCTTTCTGGAACTCCCACAAGGCATGTCTTAGCCAACCTGACTGCATCCTTCAGGTCCCTTAGGCTCTGTTCCATTTTCTTCATTCCTTTTTCTTTCTGTTCCTTAGACTCAATGATTTTCATTTTCTTCAAGGTTCCTGATTCTTTCTTCTGCCTGCTCAAATCTGCCCCTGAGCCCCTCGAGTGGATTTTTGTCATTTGTTATTGTACCTTCCGGGTCTTTCGGCTTTCATTTAAATCTTCTGTTTATGATATTTCTGTTTTGTTCATATATCATTTCTTGACTTTCTCCACTTTTGCATTTAGTTCTTTGAGCATCTTTAAGACAGTTGTTTCTAATTCTTTGTCAAGTAAATCCATCAGTTTTCTTTTTTTTTTCAGGGAAAGTTTCTGTTTATTTTTTCCTTTGAATGGTCCACACTTTCCTATGGATACCTTGTGTATCACTTGTATGTCTTGTGATTTGGAAGGTTTGAAAACTGGACATTTGATTCTAAGAATGCAGTTACTCTGAAAATCAAATTCTCCTGCTTCCCCAGAGTTAGCAATTGTTTTGCATTTTATCTTTCGGTTTTGCTTTTTGTTGTTGTAGGCTGTCTCTGTGCCAAGGATCAGCATGAGGTGTAAACTTGGGTCTTCTCGGGTTTTTCTGAGCCAACACCATTTCCTGGGCATGCCTGTTGACTTTCTAACTCCCCTCGTATATGCCATTGTTTTTGAATGGTCTAGTTTCAATGGTTTTTCAATGGTCTGGCCAGTTTTTGAATGGTCTGGCTCCCAAAAGGGGAAAAGGAGGAGCAAAAAAGAAAGGCACCAACCCCTTTAATGACCCTGGAAGTCACTTCAGCCAAATGGGAAGCAGTTGGCATTGGCAAAAGTGGGAGGTGACGCAATAATGCCACCACCTCTCTTCTGAACCTGTGTGTTCAGAAGCAGCGATCAGAGCAGGTCCCAAATATATGGAAGATAAGGCGCTTTTTGCCCACCATAGCTCCACAGTCTGTGTACAAGCTACTCCAGGAACACATACATAACTGCCTGGTGGGACCATATATAGAGTGGCGGGAAATGGGGAGCTACTACTAGGCGAAGAGCTGAAGTTGATCAAAATTAACTGCAATTTACCACCAAAGCCTTTTCTTGAAAGTTAGGAGCCTTCAGACTCCAGAGCTCCAAAATATTTATGTAAGATTCTGCCAGTGCAACTTTGTGTAGGTGGAAAGACAGATTTTTGTTGTTTCCTACTCTGTCATCTTCTCAGAATCCTCAACTTTGTTCTAATGTTTACTAAGTTCTTAAACTTGAGTATCACTTTATAACTTTAAATTTTAACTCTGAAGAAATGATGCTAACTTCATTGTCTTCAAATCTTTAATCAGCCACAGCTACACACAGACATCCTTCTCTTTCAGCCTGGACACAGGCCAAGAGATGTTTGCAAGGGACAAGCAGCAGCAGCAGCTACAATAGACAGGTCGGCCAGTTTTCTGAATCTAAATCTCAGACATCAAGGGGCACCTGGGTGGCTCAGTCAGTTAAGCGTCTTGATTTCAGCTCAGGTCATGATCAGTTTGTGGGTTTGAGCCCCACATCAGGCTCTGTGCTGGCAGTGCAGAGCCTGTTTGGGATTCTCTCTCCCCACTCTCTCTGCCCCACCCCTGCTCGTGATCTCTCCTTCTCAGAATAAATAAATAAACTTTAAAAATGCTTTAATTAAAAAATAAAAGGGGTGGCTGGATGGCTCAGTTGTTTAAGCATCCGACTTCAGCTCAGGTCATGATCAGTTTGTGGGTTTGAGCCCCACATCAGGCTCTGTGCTGGCAGTGCAGAGCCTGTTTGGGATTCTCTCTCCCCACTCTCTCTGCCCCACCCCTGCTCGTGATCTCTCCTTCTCAGAATAAATAAATAAAATTTAAAAATGCTTTAATTAAAAAATAAAAGGGGTGGCTGGATGGCTCAGTTGTTTAAGCATCCGACTTCAGCTCAGGTCATGATCTCACAGTTCGTGGGTTCGAGCCTCTCATCAGGCTCTGTGCTGACAGCTCTGAGCACGGAGCCTGCTTCGGATTCTGTGTCTCCCTCTCTCTCTGCCCCTCCCCCTCTCATGCTCTGTCTCTGTCTCTCAAAAATAAAAAATAAACATTAAAAAGAATTTTTTAATAAAAATTTAAAAACTCAAACATAGGACTTGACAAAACATTTGAGGATAATTATATTTTAAAAATCTTACAAATATATAAAAATTAAATTCAATTACATTATACATTTAATGCATTGCCTTTACAAAAGAAGAAAAATCTAATCAGGGCTGTCCCCAGAAAATTAAGACATAGGGTCCCAACATACATGTTGAAAGAACAGGGAGAAGGGAGCCATTGATCATTAAATGAAATCATTCCCAACTTTCATTCTTTATATACTTTGAACATCTCAATAAATGTCCTATAATGAAATCAGTATATTTTTCTTTACCGTTAATGTAAATACTAACAGTAGTCATCTATCAAATTCATACAAGAGCACACTTCACAGGTTTCATAATCAAATTTTATTTTTTTTAACATTTATTTATTTTTTAGAGAGAACATGAGCAGGGGAGGGGCAGAGAGAGGAGGACAGAGGATCCGAAGCAGGCTCTGCACTGATAGCAGAGAGAGACTGATGCGGGGCTCAGACTCATGAACTGTGAGATCAGGACCTGAGCCAAAGTCAGCTACTTACGCTACCCAGGTGCCTCATAATCAAATTTTTAAATAATCACATGTAATTAAAACAAATCACAATTTTTTAAACACAAATAATAAAAAACACCAAGTACAACATAGAAAATACAAAACTGTAATTTATTTGCCTTAATGACCAAACGGTTAACTGTAAAGTTACAATGGTTGCCTTGGAGTTGAAGGCAGTTTCACTTTTACCACAGCTACTTTTTCTGAACGTACGCTAGAATCAGCATCTTCTGTGTTTTATCTGTATATAATTGATCATTTACGCTTCATAGGTTTGTCCACTTGAGAACCATATTTTCTTCATGATCACGGAAGTGCCATAATGTGAAATGTCATTGTCTTCATATATTTGAGTAATACCGATCACGGTTTTGAAAGTCTCTATGAGCATACCTCGCATAAGTCTTGTTATGCGGGATCCTTCCAAAAGGTTCATGGTCATTGAAACAAGACTCAAAAACTTCATCAACAGCCTTTCGAGCTACTTCTTTGCTGACATTCCTAACAGCCAGGATAGAAAGAATGGCTCTGTCTCGCACACAAGTCTAAGGAGAAAGAAAAGAATGTGGCTTTAAGGTTATATGGAAAGTTATCATGGAATAATTACATTTTATATAATGTCTGACCACATCAGAATTCATTCCCTTTCATATTATTTTACTAATTTCTGTCGTTCTAAAGAAGAAACATTGGGGTGCCTGGGTGGTTCAGTCAGCTGAATGTCCAACTCTTGATTTTGGCTCAGGTCATGATTCCAGGGCTTTGGGATTGAGCCCTGCATTGGGCTCCATGCTGAGCGTGGAGCCTGCTTAAGATTCTGTCTCTCTCTCTTTCTTTCTCTCTGTCTCTTTCCCTCTGCCCCTCTCCCTGCTTGCACTCTTGCTCGCTCTCTCTCTCTAAAGTAAAAAAATAAAATAAAATAGAAAAAAAGACAGTAGAGACATAATTCTTAAATTATGGGATATGTTTAATTCAATCTAAAATTATTTAGGTATAAGTAAGACTTCCTCCATTTTTTCATCATTTCTTTTTTTTTTTTTAATGTTTTTATTTATTTCTAGGAGAGAGAGAGAGACAGCGTGAGCAGGGGAGGGTCAGAGAGAGAGGGAGACACAGACTCTGAAACAGGCTCCAGGCTCCGAGCTGGCAGTCAGCACAGAGCCCGACGCGGGGCTCGAACCCACGAACCGCGAGATCATGACCCAAGCGAAAGTCGGACGCTTAACCGACTAAGCCACCCAGGCGCCCCCATTTTTTCATCATTTCTAGTAATATAACCAGACGTCATTCTCTGAAGTTTCAGGCAGTCCAACAGGTAGTAACTTCCAATTTGCAAATATCAAAACAAAACAAAACTCTATAAATAAGGTTCTGGTTGGATTTTTAATAAAATTTAAATAGATTTAAAATACACTTTACTCCTCTGTCTCTCTCCTCCTTTTCTTTTCAAGTGACCCATATTAGATACCTCTTCCTTCGAGAGTGGCACTCTTCCATGGAAGCAATCGGAAACCACACATACAGACACACAAAATGTAAAGGTGTCTTAATTTTTCAGGGGGGAAAAAAGTCAAACAACTTTTTTTTCCTAGGTATTCTTTGCATGGGTACCTAAGAAAATACTCAATCTAACGTTACATAGTAATAAGGCTAGAATGTCTCAGTATCATAAGTATGTAAAGAAACAGAAGGTCTTGCCATTCCAATTCTTAGAGACCTTTAAACCCATTTATTTCTCCACAGGCCAAAACTAAAGCTCAAAAGAATGGCATTTAGCCTCTTCATGAAAAATAACCAAATACTGGTGCTTAGGGCTGTGTATCCTGTCAATCATTCCTTTTCTGTGTGTGCCCCCTATTTTCTTTCACTCTGGTCAGCATGCCTGAGGCAGAGCCGCTCACTAGTATGAGAATATAAACCAGTGCTTTCGACCTCAATGACACTAACCAATGATCTTAAAAATAAACTCCAGGCCAAAAGGGGTAAGAAAGAAAGGAAGAACCCCCTGGGGCTATGATAACAATTGCCAGAAAGAGGAAATTTCTCTCTTACAGGCAGAAAAATGACGGTGAAAACTTGTCTCCTGGAGCTACGGGTTTGGGAGACACCTGGATAGACCACAGTTCTGGTTTAATTCTTCCCAAATGTAACATACTTCCATTAAAACTATGATTTCAGGGGCACCCGGATGGCTCAGTCGGTTAAGTGTCTGACTCTTGATTCCGGCTTAGGTCATGATGTCACAGAAGATCTAGCCCCGTGTTGGACTTGCACTGACAGCACAGAACCTACATAGGATTCTCTCTCTCTCTCTCTCTCTCTCTCTCTCTACCTGACCCTCCCCTCCTCGCACCTACGTGCGTGCGTGCACGCCTCTCTCAAAATAAATAAATAAACTTTAAAAAAAAAAACTGTGAGATTTCACCATCAGTTACTGTAACCGATGTGTGTCTCTCTGCCTCTCCCCCACTAGCACTCTGTCTCTCTCTGTCCGTCTGTCTGTCTCTCCCTCACTCTCTCTCTCAAAAATAAATAAATATTTTTAAATTTTTTTAATTAAATAAACAAAATAATAATTTAAAAAGTAGAACTAAATTCCATCTGTTTGGCTTACACAGTATAATTTTGTATTCTTTCCATATAAATAGCTCTTTCAAATTTCAAATACTAAATGAACTTCTCATTTCTTTATTCATCATTTCCATTCATAGCACTCTGGAGGGTAAGCGATTTCGTACGTTAGTTTTACCTGATGGTGTTGTTTTAATCCAAAATGCAACCTGAATATTTCATTCACAAGCGAGCAGTCTCCACTAAGGTTAGCAGCTCGAACCTATCACAAAGACCAAGGCAAACAAAGAAAATAAGTGCTCATGCTCTATAAAAATTGTAAGAGAATCTAACATTAGCATGTTTTTCTGAGTCTGAGAACAGACTCAGTCTGAGAACAGACTCTTTTAAAGAATGTTTTAAAATTCTGACATAAGATTATTTTCAGTGATTCTTAAGAACAAGAGTAGATATTCCTGAGCTATGCTAGGCAATGCAAAATAAACTGGGGTGGGGATGGGGTCAATCATTTATCAAAGGGAATTTTCGAAACTTTATACAATAACCTTATTGAAAGAACTAATTTCTTTTGGAACCAAAAGTCAGAAAGTGAAAGTCCATGCTCTCTACAAGATACAGTTGTAGATATTACCAAAAGGACTTCATGAAAGCATTCTTTCAAAGATCTACAAACTGAACTTCAATGTGAGCTTAAAATTAAACACAAGAGTATCTAAGACTCTGAGAACCTGAACCTTCTACCGCTGGCCCCAAACACTGCAACTCTCTTAGAACCTCCCTCAGGCCTTCCTCCAGGGCCTCAACTGTCCTATGAACAATTAAGTTCCTGAAACTTAAGTTCTTAATTTTTCGAAGAATCAAGAACATTCTATACTGGTCATGCTATGAGCATGACAGCCTGAAGTTAGGGCATATTTTCTAATTTATTACATTTTTTTTAATATAATTTATTGTCAAATTGGCTTGCCTACAACACCCAGGGCTCATCCCAACAAGTGTCCTCCTCAATGCCCATCACCCACTTTCCCCTCTCCTCCACCCCCCCCATCAACGTGTTTGTTAATTTACAATATTTTTAAGGTAAAATGCAGCTTCAATAGAAGAAAACGTCTTCTAACTACCTACACAGATGCCGCAGCCAACCTGGCCATGTTTTTGCCAACACACTGCAGACAGAATGGCCTACTTGTTGTGACTTCCACAATACCATGGCCTCATTCCTCTGAGGAGTTCGAGACACTTACCACACTTTAACTGGCTAACAGGCATTAATTCTCATAACACCCAAGAAAGAGACCTATTTAAAAACTCAGGTTTCAGTCTACTCTCCAAATAATAGGAGTTATAATTAAATGCAATGGGGCTGCTTATTAATTTCAAAGGAAAGAGAAAATAATCTAAGTTATAAATATAAGCTTGAAATTTATATTAGTTTTTTGAACTTCGCAGCACACCGCACTCTTCAATTAATGAAATGCAAGTATTAAACACATACATGTCTCTAAGAGCATAAATGTATCGCGTTTCTGAGAACGATCAATGTGCTTAATAATAAAAGAAACTTTTTATGTTGTATTTTTGAGACTAAATGTTTTACTCTTGGGAAGACAAAGCGCTTTACTGAGAGAAGGCAGCACAGCAAACCAGTTAAGAACCTGGGTTATAATTGTGTCTCTACTACTTACAAATCCATGGATCTAAAAAAATGCCTTGGGGCGCCTGGGTGGCTCAGTCGGTTAAGCATCCGACATCGGTTCAGGTTGTGATCTCATGGTTCGTGGGTTCGAGCCCTTCGTCGGGCTCTGTGCTGACAGCTAGCTCAGCACCTGGAGCCTGTTTCGGACACTGTATCTCCCTCTCTCTCTGACCCTCTCCTGCTCATGCTCTCTCTCTCTCTCTCTCTCTCTCTCTCTCAGAAATAAATAAAACATTAAAATAAATAAATAAAATAAAAATTTAAAAATGCCTGACTTTCAACATATATAAAATGGGATAATAGCATCTACCTCAATGGACTGTGGTGAAGACTAAGTAAGAATCCACAAAAGGAAAAATAGTTCATTATTATCAAGTCACCACTAGTATTAGAATTTAAAGGTTATAATTCAGACAATTCTAAAAAGATGCTTAAAATTCTCTTGTATCTCAAAATTGTATTTAGTTGTTAAAAATGGAAACCTAAGGGGGTGTCTGGGTGGCTCAGTCAGTTCAGTGACCAACTTCGGCTCAGGTCATGATCTCATGGTTCGTGAGTTTGAGCCCCGAGTCAGGCTCAGCGCTGACAGCTTGGAGCCTGGAGCCCATTTTGGATTCTGTGTCTCCCTCTCTCTCTGTCCCTCCCCTGCTCATGTTCTGTCTCTCTTACCTTCAAAAATAAATAAACTTTTTTTTTAATTTTTATAAAAAATAAATAAATAAAAAATGGAAACCTAAGAGTGGCATGAAGCCACAACAGTATAAGAAATGGAGTATGTTTAAGTAAAGTATACATCATTAAAATGTCCAAACTCAGACTGCTCCAGGGGGAAGAAGGATCTTTACAATAAGACTCACCTCTGAGCAGGCCAAGTGTCTGACATCGGTGAACCAGTGGACATGAGCACGACAGTGGTCAAACGCGTGAATGAGCTCGTGGGTGACCACTCTGTTCATATGGGCCTGATTACCGATGTTGTTCTGGCATAAAACTATCTAGGAGTCACCAAAATAAGAGAAGTTCCATTACTTATACCACTGACCCGCTTTTTGTAAATCCCATCTTGTCTCTGGCTGAGATGGCTCACCAGCTTGGGAGAGCCTCCACCCGTGCTACTCCCTCAACCCCACATCTACCCCGTCATCAAGGCCTGGCCCTAAGGTACCTGTTCTGCTAAGCCTTCCCAGTGGCCGACTTCTCCCTCTTCTCCCTGAACTACAACAGCACTTAACCGCCATCCTCGGTGAGCTGGTGGACTCCACCGCACTGTATTGGGGGAGTGGGCTTTGGAATGCAGCTGACAGATTCAAACTGCAGCTCCACTCCTTCCTAACTTGGTGACCTTGGGCGAGTCTTAACTGCTCTGTGCCTCAGTTTCCTCAACTATCAAAAGGAGATCGTTAGGGTACCTACCTCATAGAATTGTGAGAATTAAATGAGAATATATGTAAACTGCTTCTTATCAAGTTTCTGAGTGAGCAATGAATCAACAATGAATGACCACCACTGTCTCATTCTACTAGAATTGCCAGGAAAACTCCTCAGAAAGACCTTCAGAAAGAAGTGCAAAAAGCCAACAGCACACTGAGCAGGACCCTATAAGAATAATAAAGACATGAGGGATCCCAGGAATAATAGTTCCCATTTATCGTGTACTTACGTGCCAGACACTGGGATGTGTGCCAGATATTTTACATACATTCATCCAACATTCATCCTTCGAAAATACTTATTGAGATCTACTAGTAGATTTATAATCTATTTATAATTTATATTCTAATTTATAATATATAATCTACTAAAGGCACTAGAAATTAATCAAACATTTACCAAGATGTTTAAATATATGCAATGACAGGTGTCATGAAGAATAATCCAAGATGTCATGAATACACACGATGAGAATGGTCTGGTCTGCAGGATTGGGAAAGGCTTCTCTGCAGATGGAATACTTAAATTGGGATCTCAGGGGTGAGGAGGAGTTAAATATGAAGGCAGGGAAGGGAGCCTTCCAGACAGAGCAACCCGTGCAGAGGGGAGGAGCACTTCCGCAACAGAGTGTCTGAGAGGCTGGAAGCAGGCCCGTATTCCTGAAGCACAGAGCTGCAGGTGACAGACATGACATCAGGCTGGTGAGGTCGGCTAGAGCAAATCACTCTGTACCCTGACAACAGTGGGAAGTCACTGAAAGGGAGTAGTGAAACAGGGAGGTGCTTTTGTTTGTTTTTATCCTTCGACTCTAGTTGTAAAAATAAGCAGATGACCAAACAGGGTGCAGAGAAATTAGTTGAAGGCTAATGAGATATTCTAGGCAAGAGATAATGGTACCTGAACAGGGACAGTAAGACCCACGCCCCCCCCCCCAAAAAATATTTAGGAGGTAAATTGGACAAAAGTCGGCGATAGAACATGGGAAGGGAACCAGAGGTACAGGATGATCTCTACATTTCTACCTTGGGGAATGGAATAGATGGCTGTCCCATTCACTGAGATATGCAAAACTACAAGTTTTGGGTGAGGACACTACCAGGTTGGGTGAGGACAGGGGATGGTATCAATCATCAATTTGGACTTGGACAAGTCTGTGAGGTCTCGGGTGCCTTTAAGACATCCAAGTGTAGATATTAAATGGGCATCTGGATGCACAGATGTGAAGTTCAAAAGAGAGCTCTGACCTAGGCAAAGAAATGAGATCCCCTTGGCAGAGTACAGAGGAAGAAAAGAAGGGGATCTAACACCGAGGACTAAGAAACTTCCACATGTAAGAAAGAGCTGGTAGAGGGAGGTGAGCTAGCAAAGAGTGTCATATACTGGAAACCAGGGGAAGAGGCATCTGACATTACCTGCTAAAGCCAAGTGAACGCCTATTACATGACCCAGCAATTCTGCTCCCGGGTAGATACACAGGACTAACTTTTGCACATGTGCTCCCGGAGATGTGAAAAATATTCACAGCAGTATTGTTCATAATAACAAAGTGGGAAACGATCGGAAACAGGGTAAACTGCAGTATGGACATATAGTGGAACACTATACAAGCGCCAAACGACATAAACCAGAGGTGTGTACAACAACATGGAAGAATCTCGGGTGTTCAAGGGCAGAATCATTACGGGAAACTATATACTGTATGATTTCATAAAACTACAAAGTATCACCCAGAACTCAAAGTATTCCATGTATAAAAGGTAAAAGCCAGGCAACTAAATAACACATTGTTTGTACATAGAGATGGTAAAACTATTCAGAACAGCAGGGAATGATTATCACAAAAGTCAGAGTAAGAAAAGGAGAGGAAATGTGATCCAAGAGGGGCATGCAATCTTGTGAAATCCTGGTGACATTCTATTTCTCAAATCTGGTGGCAGTTACACAGGTGTCTGTTTTATTACTGAGACCAAAAGCATACGTACAGGTATCTTACTCTTCTGTATGAATGAGACACTTCACAATACAAACTATAATTTTTAAAAAATAAATAAAAGGAGTACCCAACTATGCTCAACACTACCAAGAAGTAAGATAAAAGTTCAGAATGTCCACTCTATTTAACCCCAAGGGGGGTAGAGGGGGAAGAATTCACCAAGACCCATTTTGAGAGCTATTAGGTATTGTTATAATCAGTTTACAAATGAGGAAACTGAGAATAAGGCAAATAACTTGCTCAAGTCCCACAGCCAATAAGCAGGGGAACTAGATTTGAACTCAATTCTACCAGGCTCCAAGACCCAGTCCTCTCACCCCTATGCTGTTTTTTTTCCCTCGAGATTACTGTGAAACAGCTATAAACAACCAAAATACATATAAAATTCCCCAGGAGGAAACAAGTAAGTATTGTTAAACAGGGTTATATGTTCAAGATGGGAGGCGTTACTTATAAAAGCTTCATTTACCCTTATCACATGATATAATTCTTCTACCAACTCCAAGATGCTGTCAAAACTCTCCAATTACTTAAAACTAATAATAAAACATTAAAAAAAACTAATAATATTTAGGGGCACCTGGGTGGCTCAGTCAGTTAAGCATCTGACGTCAGCTCAGGTCATGATCTCACGATTCGTGGATTCGAGCCCCACATAGGGCTTTGTGCTGACAGCTCAGAGCCTAGAGCCTGTTTCGGATTCTGTATCTCCCTCTCTCTCTTACCCTCCCCTGCTCGTGCTGTCTCTCCTTCTCTCTCAGAAATAAATAAAACATTATAAATAAATAAATAAATAAATAAATAAATAAATAAAACTAATAATATTTAGGGGTGCCTGGGTGGCTCAGTCAGTTAAGCATCCGACTTTGGCTCAGGTCATGATCTCACAGCTCATGGGTTTGAGTCCCACATCAGGCTCTATGTTGACGGAGCCTGGACCCTGCTTTGGATTCTGTGTCTTCCTCTCTCTCTGCCTCTCCCCTGTTCACATTCTGTCTCTATCTCTCTCAAAAATAAATAAATATTAAAAGATTTTTTAAAAACTAATAATATTTATTGAATGCTTACTGTGCTTACTCTGCTAAGCACCTTATATGAGGTACCTCATTTAATTCTAATAACTGTTCTATGACAGATAGAACCATTACCCATATTTTCCCAGATGAGAAAACTTACTCTCCTAATCAAAAAAAAATTTTTTTAATGTTTTATTTATTTTTGAGAGAGAGAGAGAGAGACAGCATGAGCAGGGGAGGGTCAGAGAGAGAAGGAGACACAGAATCCGAAGACAGGCTCCAGGCTCTGAGCTGGCTGTCAGCACAGGGCCCGACACAGGGCTCGAACCCACGAACCATGAAATCATGACCTGAGCTAAAGTCGGACGCTTAACCGACTGAGCCACCCAGGCGCCCCTCTCCTAATCAAAAATTTTCAAAGGTATTATCACTCCTCACCAGGTACAGGGAAAACTCTTTAACTAAGCATTCAAAGCCTCCCACCATATGCCTACTTTTCTTTCCAATCCTATTTCCCCATATTCCCCACAGGTTCCTACCCTTCTGCTGCACTAGACAACATGCCATTCCCCAGATATACCTTGTTCTTTCCCAACACACCACCTTTGCTCATGATACCCCTTCTTTGGGCAACAGTCTTTGTCTTCTTTGCCCCTGAAGAAGCTTTATATGCTCTAGCTGACTCTGTTGGTGTTTTTCAATTGTATCACAGTCCCACTGTGGTAACTACACCCACCTAAAAGAGTTCAACCCGCCTCAAATTTTTATCATTGTCTGTGTTCATGGCTTGTCTCCCTTATGAAAGCATAAGCTCCTTAAGAGTAAGAACCATAACTGACTCATTGTTTGAACCTTACACACAGTCTACTAAACAGAATGCCCAGCATGCGGAAGGTGCTTAGCAAACATCAGGAAAGAGAACAACTTGGCAAAAATACCTACCTGAGACGTTGAAGCATCAAAACCTCCACTGACATTTCCATCACAGTCTTCACAAGAGAAGTGTCTTTCTTTGTTAACCGCACTAAAAGGCAAGAATGGATTAAAGAAGCAATGTCCAAAAGCAGTATGCCCGCGCACGGTGCAGGGGAAACAGCCCCGGGCAAGGAGTCAGGAGCCCCGTAGCACAGAGCCCTTTCAAAACTAACACACAAGAAACCTTGGGACACCTTTAGGACTCAGCTGTCTCATCTGTAAAATAAGGAAGTCACGCCCGCAAAATCTATCCTACTTCAACTCCCACGCAGTTCCATAAATCATCTGGTCAACTGATTAAGACCATATTGGAAATAAGATGGAGTTGCTATCCTCTGGCAAGACTGTTAAGAAGTGGACTTCAGACGTCACTTCCTCTAATTTCCTTGAAGTTAAACAACACCTGGAAGGCTCCTACATAAGAAGCCGAGATTTCTTCTCCATGAAGGACAATGCTGAGGCTGGTAGAGTGGGAAAGCCAGGTCTGGCAATCACTTACAAGACTTTAAGTGTGGTCTTTACTAAATACTGGAGGTGAGTGGCAGAGCCAGAGACTTAGACTTAGGGAGGAAGATGTCTGAAGGGAACAAGACCTGCTTGGAAAGAATGCACCCCGTCACCACTGCCTACCATATGGAAAAGGCTTTGTGGCTGGAAGCGAAAAATCGTAAGAAGCTCAAGTTTGAAGTGTGTTTTTGTTTGCGTGTTTTTAGCAGCCAGAATATAGACCAACGCTTTAAAAAGATTTACTTACCAACCTGAGTGCTTCATGGCATCAAGCAGAAGTTTGACATACGGATCTAGAAAGATATTTGATTCAATTAAGCATGCTAATCAGGAAAAAAGAGCACCAATTAAGTTCTCCAAAGAGCAGTATAGGATATTATCAAAAAGTACATCACAAATCTTAAGGAAATAATACTATCTTAAAATTGGCAAAAGATGGATATGAAAAGACAAGCTTAAATTAACCTAAAATTAAGTCCTTGATGAAATAAAACCGTGACACGAACACCAAGATGGATACGACTAAACATCTTAAATAATATCAAAAATGCTTATACAGCCCACGTATGGTTATATGATCAAAAACATTGTATGAAAGCATATACAAAAGAACGAGGGGACTTGGGGCCTCATCCTTAGAAACGAACCGCAGCACAGTATCCAGGTTAGAGGAAGGGAGTTAAGGGGCTCACTGGCGTCTCTTCTGATCAGACCGCAGGGTGACAGTGTCCCATTCTAAGTACCACACTCTGAACAGGACCTGCCAACTGCAGCCCTTCCCCGGAGGGGAGGCAACCAGAACAGTACAGGACTGTGCTGAGTAAGAAGCACAAAAGGAGTTGTGGATGTGGAAGGGAGAATAAAAAACTTAACTACGACCACAATGTCTGAAGGGCTGTGTGGGAAGAGATTTAGTCAACATTTGTTCAGAGAACAGAACAGGACCAAAGAGTAGAAGTTACAGTATGGGAAAGGATGTTTCCAACAAGTAAAGGTGTGACTACAATACACCAGGAGCTACGGGGAGCCTCAAAGAACTGGTAACCAGGTCCGACAGAGGTCTATAAACTCTCTGGCCAGTGACGGCCCCCCGGTCTTCCAGTGTGGAGGTGCAAAGGCCTAGATGACTCCTGAGGGAACTTCCACTTCTTTTTTGGGTTTTTTTTTAACATTATATTCATTTTTTGAGAGACCGAGAAACACAGAGCGTGAGTGGGGGAGGGGCAGAGAGAGGGAGACACAAAATCCAAAGGAGGCTCCAGGCTCTGAGCTGTCAGCACAGAGCCCAGGGCAGGGCTCAAAGTCACGGACCATGAGATCATGACCTGAGCTGAAGCTAGACGCTTAACCGACTGAGCCACCCAGGCGCCCTGGGACCTTCCACTTCTAAGCATCTGTTAGGCTATAATAATTACGGGAAAGTAAAACAAACCCAAATGCCTCTAATATCAACTTTCCACATAACAGTCTTATCTGAGTGCATAAATGCACAACGTACTATATGACATAAGCAAAAAATTAGAAAAAGAAACCAAGGTTGTTTTTTATTAAGTGCTGAAAGTAAAAACAAGTGAGTAAAAGAAAAGTAGGGAGATGAAAAAGATAGGTATACATTACTGTTTTATTTAACCTGACCCCTCTTAAGAGTATTAACAGCAAAACAATTATTAGTAATAAGTATTTTTTTAGTGTATATCAGGCATCAGGAACCATATTAAGTGTTTTATTATTCAAGCAACTAAGAGTTTTACAAAGTTGAAGTGGGTTCCAAAGTCTATAGTACTCTTCCTAAAATAATAATAATAACAGTTTTACTATTATTATTATTATTATTATTATTATTATTATTATTGCAGGGAGCACAGTGGTTTGATACTTCAGACAGGACCTGCAGTATTTAGAATGGATTTGCGCTGGGTGTTATATGCAAGCGATGAAGCACTAAATTCTACTCCTGAAACCATCATTACACTATATATTAACTAATTTGGATTTAAATTTAAAAGAGAGAGAGAGAGAGAAAACAAAAGATCTTTGAGGCTGAGTCCCAGGTTCAGGATTGTAAAGCTATAGGTTGATGCTTTAATACCACTAACACTTCTCCCAGCAGCCCTCCAGGGAGAGTTGAGACTTGCTAATTCCTATTGGGGTTCATGTTCAGCACCCCACCCTCCTCACACCCAATCTCTACATCTCCTCCACTGTTGTCTCTTCCACTGTAAGCACAGTTAGCCATTACTCAGCTCCTGATATGGTCACAATCTACATTCATAAAATCTATTCCTCACAACAACCCTAAATGAGGTATTTTTATCCCTACCCTTCCCTTTCTGTGCGTGCAGACAAAGAGAGAGGGATCAGGAAGTTAAGTCAGTCTTCCACACCTGATAAGGAGAGAGACCAGAATCTGAACCTATGTTTAACTCTGCAGCCCATGCTCCTTCCACTGCATTCCACTTAACCCTCTAAAATGCACAGTCCGGGTCCTTACTCATCTTTCCATTTCCCCACACCAGAAACCAGGAGGCATTCGATACATATTTCCAAGTGAACACAACCTCATCATTGCCATTACCCCCTTACCCCTCCCCCCTCCCTGGATTCCTTAACATGCAGGTAATCTCAAGAAGGCTGGAAAATCTCTAGGTGGTTGAACTATGATTGGCCAGTTGTGAAGTAGTAACCTTGCTTTAGGACAAGTAGGTTTACGACTTTGATTTTCTAAATGTATCTGAAGTAAACTTAGGACGTCCATGTCAATGTAAAGGAGTTAAAAAATCTCGAGTGTAATGTCCCTGGGACTGGAGAACTTGATCAGCAGGTAGTTGTGTCCTATTTAACCCACAGCAGTCATTCCTGACTCTTTGGGGATCGTTGGCCTCTTCCAGAATATGATGAAGCCAGAAGTCTCTCCCCAGAAAAATGTACTAAGGTGCATACACACGGTTTCATAGTCCATTTCAGAGGTTTCTACTCTGGGAACCCATTCATGTATGAAGGTTAAGAACCCCTTCCAACGAAAGTAGTTTGCAAAACAGTTTTTTGTCTGCCAGGAGTAATGCCTTAATTAAGACTCTGCTTGGCCCACACTCTGAAGTCCCCATACTGCCGTATAATTTACAGGAGAAATCGGAGGATCTGTCAGACCTGTGAGTATGACTGAAAAGGGCAAACTCCTACCCTACTCCTCCCTCAATCCGCAAGCAAGAGCCCAGCTGAAAGGCTTCAACACCACCTCTGATAGGGAAACTGAGGCCCAAACCCTCCCCCACAACCCTCCCACCCGCCCCCACGATGCCGAATCTGTCTGGAATCAGCGCAGAGGTGCCTGAACCCGCTCATGCCACACCTGGGGATGAACTCAGAGACCCCTGCCCTCTGGGTCGCAGACACCACCCCGCCGACCGACCCAGCCTCCAGGTCACGGCTCGTACTTGTCTCCAGCGTCTTCAGGAGCATAAGCTGGCACTTCTGGTTGTTGGTGAAGAAGCTGGAAAGGAACCCTTGCTTGGGATTCCCCTGAGACAGCCGCTCGGGGAAGACCTGGCACGCAACGTGTTGCTGCTGCAGCTGGTCCCCCGCCGCGGGACCGGGCCCGCTCTCAGCCGGAGCTCCAGCCATGCAGCCCGCAGACCTCGCCGCTGCTTCCTCCTGCCTCGGGCAGCCGGGTATGAGACCCAGGAAAGGCAACCTCTCTCCCGCCAACCGGGCCGCTCAGATCCTCCTCCTGCCGGGCTGATCTGGCCCCAGGTAGGGCGACCGTCACACAGCGTGTCTAAGGACCCCGGGGCCGTTGGGCCTCCCAACGAAGCAAGAGACACTGGGCGGGGCGAGAGGCGCGGGGAGGGGCGGGGCCAGAGACGCAGGGAGGGGCGGGGCCTGAAGCCCTGGGAGGGGCGGGGCCAGAGGCGAGAAGCGGAGCGAGAAGGGGCGCGAGGGGCGGGGCGAGAGGCGTGAGGAGAAGCGCGGCTGGATGGTGCGGGGCCTCCTGATCCCCCCGCAGGCCAAAGGGCTTGGTCCTGGCAAGTGCCCTTGCAGGCGTCTCCGTGGCTGCTGTGGACTTCGCTGCTTCCCGGCTTGGTTGGCCCGTCCTCATAAGCGTGGTTATGCAGCCCGCCTCTTCGTGGACACTCTTTCCTCCGTAATAGCCACTAATTCCTTCCGTGCTCCGAAAGCCTCAGGCATCTTCTCAGTCCCTACCTTTTCCAACCAGCAGGCCGATTGCAATCTCCTGACGTCCCAAGCCATATTGAAAGCAGTACTTTTCAGAAACGTTTGAAAGCTAAAATTATAATGACTGCTCATCTCAAAATCCTCAAAATGTGGGACACAACTACATTTTTTCTGCTTCACCGGGGCCCATTCACCCACCCTACTCTCTTGCTACCCCAAATAACTTTCTGATAACATAACACAAACCAGTTTACTTCTGTCTCCAAGCCTTAACTCACTTCCATCTATTAAGCCCTTTTCCTCAGTCCTTATGATCCAGGTCCCGATCAAATCTACCTACTCCACAAGGCATTCCCAGATACCTTAATCAAAATTATTTGCTCCTGGTCTCCCAAGGTACAAAGTACTTTGCATCTGTTATCATTTTTATCACAACTTGTCAGGTTTTAACTAATTTGCATTTCTCTTTTTCCACTAAATTACTCAGTTCAGCTCACATATTTGTTCAGCACCTATTATGATGGACGAAGCATAATGGCAGAGACTGAGGAAGCAATAATAGGAGAATTGATCAGGTTGAAGAGGAGCATATGGTTTATGTGAGAAGCATATTGAAATAATTCATGTTCAAGACACCTTGAATATTATAAACTGTGCTTTATGTGTCATGAGTGCTTAATAAATATCTAAATTGAGTGCAAATCAAAACCACAATGAGACAGATATCATCTTACACCTCTCAGAATGGCTATTAATCAAAAAGACAAGAAATAGCAAGTGTTGGTGAATATAGGGAGAATAGGGAACCCTTGTGCACTGTTAATGGGAATGTAAATCGGTGAAGCCACTATGAAAAACAGCATGGAGATTCCTCAAGAAATTAAAAATAGAGCCACCATATGATCCAGCAATTCCACTTCTGGGTATTTATCCAAAGAAAACAAAAACACCAATTTGAAAAGATATATGCACCCCATGTTCACTGCAGCATGATTTACAATAGCCAAAATATGGAAGCAACCTAAGTGTCCATTGAAGAATGAATGAAGAAATAGTGGTATACATACACAATGGAATATTGTTCAGTCATTTTTAAAAAATGAATGAAATCTTGCCATTTACAACACCATGGAGAGACCTCGAGGGCATGAGGTGAAATGAGTGAAATAAGTCAGACACAGAAAGCAAACACATGATTTCTTTTAGATATGCAAACTAAACACAAAAACAAAAAGTCCACAAGTTCATGGATACAGAGAACAGCTTGGTAATTGCCAGAGGTGGGGGTGGCAAATGGGAGAAATGGGTGAAGGAGGTCAAAAGGTAAAAAGAAAAAATTTTCAAAAAAAGATAAAAATAAAATATATGTAGAATAAATGACAGTGAAAGCCAAGTGGGTTATATAGTGTTTTACCAGCTTTGTATTGATTGGGAAGTGGTAAAAGTACTAATTTTTAGTAAATTTAGTCAAGGATACATGTTGTAATCATAAGGATAACCATTAAAAGAATAGCATAAAAGGGCAAAACTAATGGGCTAATAGAGGGGGGGAATGAAAAATACACAAATTGGATGGGATGCTAGGATTATTCATTCACCTGAAATGTGAAAACATGAACACCTCCTATGTACAGATTGCTAAAGCTATAATAGTTTTCTTAAGCCACTTTATTGAGCTCACCTTGGATTTATTATTTCTAATCTTGAGTACAACCCTGCAAAATAAGTATTATTGTCACAATTTTGCTGATAATGAAAGTGGGCTCACCAATATTGAATAATTTATCCAGGACCACACAATCAACTTTCAATCTAGTTAGGGAGCTACATAAGCATATAGAAAACTACACCATTACAACTTATTGTAATGGAGTCTGCAATACTCAGGAAAGGCTAGAGAAAATGGGACCTGACATGGACCATAGCCTGTAAGCATGTGAAGTACTATTTGAAATATTATCCAGCTACATGAATAAGGAAATAAATGCAAATTAAAAGCTGTAACTCTCCCCTACCAAATTAGCAAATATTTTTTTCAGTATTCATCACCGAAGGCAAAAAGAAGGAAGACTAGAAAAAAAATATGCCAAAACATGATCAGTAGATTCCTAGATATTGGGATATTTTTATTATATTCTGAATTTTCCTAGCGGTCTACGATAAGCGTGTATTACCTTTTTAAAGTAAACTTTAAAAAATTGAGTGCATTACCTTTTTAAAGTAAACTTTAAAAAATTGAGTAGGCTGTGGATGCCATATGTGTAACTTCATCCCTTTACAGTATAAAGACATAGGAGTGGAATGGGAAGGTGCTGTGGGAGAGATAAGGAAGTGCAAATACAAAGGATTAAGGTAAAAAGAGGAAAATAATTACACAAAGAAATGAGAGCATGAGCAAAGAGTTAGCTATAAGGATTCTCATTTCCCCCCTGCGACACCAAACAAGAGCAAAAAGAATAGAAACTGTTTTCAGTATCCAAGTGATACATAGAATACATGAAACTATGTTGTTGTGCTGCCTTTTTAAATATACTCATAAAAGTTAAGTTACAAAACAGCATAAGCTCTATTTCATTTTGAAATTTCATTTACTATATGTGTAGAAAGCGTCTGGGAGGCTACCCCAGTATTTACAGTGGTTATTTCTATGTGGATGAGACTTGGGTGTTTTCTTTTGTGCTTCTCTTCGTTTCCTAAAGGAACAATAGTTGCTTTTTTATGGGAATGTAAGTATATCACAGCAACGCAAGGAGTTGCATTATCATTTTAAAGTGCGTTCCATCTTTCAGCTTTTTAATAACGTTTAATCCATTTATCGCGGGCTAACAAAAATTTGGTGGCTTTACGACTTTTCCTTAGCTTTCCAGTCATTTTTAAGGTTGGGAAATGAACAAAACAGTTCCCTGCTCCGGCGTCCTCCAGCCTCCCAAACCTCCGCGGAAAAAACGCCTCCTCCTCTCCAGCAGTCACAGGAGACTGACAGGCATCTACTTCCGGAAAGAGTCAGCCCTCCGATCCAGAAGAGAACGAGAGGAGGCGCGCGGCATTCTGGGAAGACCGACGGAAGCTGTTAGGCGCTGCGAGGGTTGCTGGCTGTTGCCAGGGCAACTGGAAACCATTGGCCGTTATCCTCCGTTTGAGACCGTTAAGCAGTAGGGGCCGGGTGCTCAGAGGTCATTTGGGATGAGCATGAGGGGCGTGAGGGCCTTTCTAAGTGAAGACTGTCCCATCAGGAGGTTATCCAGTGGTGCCCACGGCGGGGACACCTGCCCAGGGACTCTGGGTCCCACCGTCCTGCTCTTGGCGCCTTGAGAAGAAAGTAAGTTTGGGCCAGTGGCACCTGTCACTTCTCGAAGTTTTCTTCTTCCTTTTAGAAAATATAAATTGAGAAGCAAAAATAATGTAAAAACAGGGAGAAGGACGAAACACAAGAGACCCTTAAATATGGAGAACAAACAAAGGGTTACTGGAGGGGTTGTGGGGGGGCGATGGGCTACATGGGTAACGAGCATTAAGGAACCTACTCCTGAAATCATTGTCCCACTATATATAGCTAACTAACTCGGGTGTAAATTTAAAAAATAAATAAAATTTTAAAAAGAAAGTGGCGGCTAATAGTTTCAATATTACATTGCAATGTGTTCTAATATAAAGAAATTTTTTTTCAGTTGAGGAAAACTAAAAAATAAACTTAAAAAAAAGTCACTACTTATCCCCACTATTTAGCAGTGTCTTAAAATTTTCATGTATTACCTATCACTTTTTTCTCAGCCCAAATATTTTTTACATAGTTGAGTTTACTTGGGGAAAATCATCTTGTACCCTGACTTTTCATAAATATATATATATAGGATATAATTGTTATTAAAATCTTAGCAACAAAGAAGGCCTTTGAAGACTTGAATGTAAATCTGTTTTGTAGTGAATTGAAGAGACAGAGATGGAGTGGACGCAGCACGTGAAGACAGTTCTTTCAAGAAATTTGGCTGTAAAGGAAAAGAGAAAGGTCAGTAGCCAGAGAAGAAAGGCAAATAAAAGAAAAAAGTTGAGGCTTTTCTTAAGAAGAGGAGACTTAGTGGTGTTTATTAGTGCAAGAGAAAAAAAAGATAGTAGTCAGAGGTTAAAGGTACTGCCAACAAGGAGAATTACTGAATGATTCTCTAAAGAAATAGGAGGAGAGGGGTGCCTGGGTGGCTCAGTCAGTTAAGCGTCTGACTTTGGCTCAGGCCACGATCTCACGGTTCATGGGTTCTAGCCCCGCTCTGTGCTGACAGCTAGGTCTCAGGCTGGAGCCTGTCTTCGGATTCTGTGTCTCCCTCTCTCTCTGACCCTCCCCTAGTCACGTTGTCTCTATCTCTGTCTCAAAAATAAATAAAAAACATTAAAAAAAAAAAAGAAATAGGAGGAGATAAGATCCACACATCAAGTACATAGCTTAGGCAGTGGAACCAGGTAGGAAGATGTCAAAGTGAGTTATGGATGTTAATAATTTTAAATATATTATAAGTTGACAAGAGTAATAAAGATATATCGAAATACATATATGTGGCCAATAATATGTATACTCAACCATATTAGTAATAATATAAATGGAATATTAAATGCCTATTAAATTGGCAAAGATTGGGGAGCCTGGGTGGCTCAGTTAAGCTTCCAACTTTGGCTCAGGTCGTGATCTCACAGTTCCTGAGTTTGAGCCCCCATCAGATTCCCAGCCTGCTTCTGATCCTCTGTTCCCCTCTCTCTCTGCTCTTCCCCCACTCAAACTCACTCTCTCAAAAATGAATAAACATTAAAAAAAAGAACATGTAAAAAATAGGCAAAGATTAAAAAGAAAATAGTATATGTATTGGGCAAGGGCTCAGTTAAATAGGCACTGCAGATGGTAATAGAAACTGGTCCTCTCCCCTCCCCCGGGCATTTTAGGACTATATATCCTTAAAATGGGTATATACTTTGACTAAGGAAGTGTACTTCTAGGAAGTTCTCAAAAGGAAATAATCAAAACTGCACACATATTAAGCTGGGTGGAGTTCATTTCAGCTTGTCCACCAATGAAAGATAAGTGAAATACATTATACCCATACTTCTTAGACATGGATAACATGGTTGCAGATAAGAGAAGTTCACTTATATTAGTTACTGTGAGAGCATCTTCAGGTTTTATGGGACACCTGGGTGGCTTAGTAGGTTAAGCGTCTGACTTCGGCTGAGGTCATGATCTCATAGTTCATGGGTTCTAGCCCCACGTCAGGCTCTGTGCTGACAGCTCAAAGCCTGGAACCTGCTTTGGATCCTGTGTCTCCCTCCCTCTCTGCCCCTCCCCTGCTCTCCCTCTTGCTCTTTCTCTCTCTCTCTCTCTCTCAAAAATGTATAAACATTTTTTTTAAAAAGTGCATCTTCAGGTTTTATAGGAAGGGAATATAGAGTTGCAGTCTGATTGACTACCCTGATACACAATTAGTGGGATACTTCAAACCACTAAAATTTATTTAGAAGACTAATGATAAGAAAAGATATGTGAAATACTTTAGGAGAGAAAAGTGGGTTATGAAAGCAGCAATATGTAGGTTCTTACCACATGGTGAGTTTTTCTGTTTTTTGCTATTCTGCTTTCTGCTTATCCATATTCCACATGATAAATGTATATTTTTAAGGACATATAAAACGTCACTCTTTTGAATGTTTTTAAATGTTTTATTTATTTCTGAGAGAGAGAGGGGGGCAGCATGAGCAGGGGAGGATCAGAGAGAGAGGGAGATGCAGAATCAGAAGCAGGCAGGCTCTGAGCTAGCTGCCAGCACAGAGCCCGATGTGGGGCTCGAACCCAGAAACAGTGAGATCATGACCTTAGCCAAGGACAGATGCTTAGCTGACTGAGCACCCAGACACCCCAAAACGTCACTCTTTTAAAGGTGTGACTAACTTTATAAGTGAGGAAGGAAGTTGGGGAAGTGTTCTCCCAATGACCTTGAAATATGCGATATCTCTCTGTGAAGTAGAAGATCAAGAAATTTGATGCTTTAACAGCCTATAAGAACTATTTTTTAAATGTGTTTTATAGATGCATATAATTTATCGGTGCCCCACCAGGCTCACAAAAGATTGAGTGTGCTCAGAAAGAGATATACGCTATAGTAAGAGAAAATGATAGGAAGAGGCAAAAGGTTATTGTAAAGCAAACAAAATAAACAAAATAAACGCAACGGTATCTTAATGCCCCCAAAATAATCAAGCCAAAAGGTCCTGTGTAATTGCTAGAGGCATGCCACCACAAATTAGTCTCTGGGGCTCCTAGCAACTAAAGCAAAAGGAAAACATAGTTCTAAGTTTCACGTGGTCTGTAAGATTTTTTTTTTAAGTTGTTTAAGAGAAGTATAGTTTGGTATAGACATCTGAGAAAAATTCTTCCATAGGTCCTCATAAGGGAATAATAATGAGAGTCATCTATTACTATTGTGTTTATTTTTATAGAATTTAGGAACATCTCAGAAAGGTTATACTCCTATTTATTAACTCAGTAATTACAAGCTCTTATTAAGTAGAGTGAGAAGCAGAAGCACATGTAAGACAAAGTCCTTGCCCTCATTTATTGTGAAAGAATAACAATAATATATAATTGCATATTTATAATATATAATGAAAAACCAGTAAGGTGAATAGTTAGTATGATGAGTCCTAGGATAACTAACATGGGTAACTATAAATCAAGGCAATGTTTGAAGCAAACAAGTGCAATGGGATTCCTGCAGTACATAGAAATAGTTTCAACCAGTGGGATCATGTTTAACCATTTGTAAAAGGGATACTCAGATATAGATTAGATAAATTGTCCACATGGCTGGTAAAAACAGAGCCAGGATTTCAAACCAATTTTGTCCCTTGAAAACCACCTGCTTAACTACTACACTGTATGGGAGAGATAGCATTCAAATAGACTTTAAAGGATGAAAAAGTTATGTCAGGCAGAGTTTGGGGAAAAATAGCCTAAGTGGAGAGAATACACTAAACAAGTCAAAAAGGTTGAAATGCATAGGGTTTTTTTTTTTGGATAACACATAAACACCCCAGGAAAATGAGATAGATATTTAGGTAAGTACTAGAAGAATAAGACTAGAAAGGTTGGGACAGATATTTTAACTTTTAACAATTAGTGTACCTATAGTTCACCTGATAAAGGACTCAGGTCTCAGGGACTGAGAAAGCAAGAGTTTTCTCTTGAAAGAAAAGCCCAGAGCCCTTGAACCTGAAAATTCTATGTGAGGGCCCTGGATGGGGAATTTGAGGGACTCTAGGTCTAGATTAGGGACTCACCCCACTCAGGTGAAGAAGAGGTCTAATGGCAAATAATAGAATCTTGTTACACATTAGCTGTATAATATTGGTCAGGTAATATAAGATATTTGGACCTCAGTTCTTTGTCTCTTAGAGAGAGAAGAAGTAAGGAGACTATTATATAAGGTGATCTCTTATTACCTCTTCTAGCACTAAAATCCCATGATCACGTAGGCCAGAGATTGCAAACTCACATGCCTAAATTAAGGATTAAGAAGGTTTCATAAATGAGCAAATGAATTTTATGTAAGAAAAATAAGGAATGGTATAAATTAGCATGGCAGTTTAGATGTCTCATCTAAACTCCAGGCAATTCTTGTATGAGTAAGGACCCCATGTTGCCAACTTTTCTAATTTTTCATGAGAAACAAGAACACCATATTTGTAAGAATATTATACAGGATGAATAAAACTGGCTGGCTAGATACAGTCCATTGGTCACTAATTTTCAACCTCTGCTACAAGTAAAAGGCCCTAAACAAGAATGATAAGTGCTTGAATGAAAAGAATTAAATATAAAGAGGAAGGAATCAAAGAGAATAATACCAAGATTTCCCCTAAGTAATGAGGAGGAGTTGGTAACATTAAGATAAATACTAAAATCAGCAGATTTGCAGAGAGTAGGTGCTTGGCTCCGAGTTTTTTGAACACAGGACAAACTTCTCAGTCGTAGGTGTCCACTGCACATAAATCAAATTCAGCTGTTGAGTTTGAGAAATCTGTAGGATTATACGGGCAACGGGTGCAGGAAATGTAGGGAGAAAGGATAAGGAGTTGTAAGATTCATTCTCTCAAAAGTTGTATTAAACATATCACAATATATATTTGTTATTTCTTAAGACTATAAATTCTGTGAGGGCAGAAACCAAACATTTTTTTCACCCCTTATCCAGCACCTAGCACAATATATAATAGGTGCTTAATGTATGTTAAACAGATTTATAAATACACCATGTTTTTCACTAGCATCCTGAGTTACAGGGTTGAAATCGAAATGTTCTCAAGCTTATAGGCTAGAAAGGACGTCAGGTCTTATATATAATTAAATAATCAAAGTTAGAAAGTGTACCATTAAAAAACATCACCGTGGGATTCAGAAGAGAAAAAAAATTTTAGAAGATACGCTGGACTTTCATAATGGATAGTTAAGATTGGATCATGCAAATGTTGGGAGGGACTGATCAGAAGCATCTAAATTGAAGGTGCATACTTTTCTTCTGAAAGTAGTGTTTGCAACTGCCAAGATAGTGAATAGAAAAACAGTTTGAAGCCAAAACCTTGAGAGTCACCCAAGTGTAAATAAGGTAAGGAAGAAGATCCAACAGAGTAAACAGGGAAGAAGTCGTCAGAAAGCTTAAGAGAATCGTCAGGAGAGTGAGTTACATAGGAACCAAATATCCACATTTCAAGAAAGAAAGGTCAGTCAGCATTGTCAAATACTACAGAAACAGCAGGTCGTCAAGGAGGGGGATCTAAGGACATTGGAGTTAGTGATTAAGGAAATCATTGATGACTTTCATCCAAACAGTTTCTTTATAGTTGACCAATGAATAAAAGGGAGAGGAGCATGAAAGATCATGGAATTAAGAGGCTTTTGATTTGCTTAGGGAGGAAGGGAATGGAGTTACTTAGGGGGAAAAACTAGAAGACTAGGAGAGGACTGAGTTGCCAAAAAAGGATAAATTCATGATGCAAGACTTTGGAGGATCTAAACAGTAATGAGATCAAGAAAAAAAGAAGAGTCATTGTTTGAAATCAGCATTACAATTCGAACAAATATTAATAACAGAGATAATAATTTCCTTAATCTCTCAACATATTTTCCCACTTGGTTACCTGGTTTCTTTTTTACCCTTATGGCCCCAAAGTAACTTTTGATATGCTGGAAAATAGTATTAGAACTTTAACTTTGTAATTTTTCTCTTTTTTTGATTTTTTTAAGTTTACTTATTTAGAGAAAGAGGAGGTGGGGGAGAGGCAGAGAGAGATAGCATCCTAAGCAGTCTCTGCACTATCAGTGAGGAACCAGATGCAGGGCTCAAAGTCACAAACCATGAAATCATAACCTGAGTGGAAACCAAGAGTCGGATGCTTAACTGACTGAGCCACCCAATCTGCCCCAACTGTGTAATATTTCTTAATGCTTTCTTAAAATCCTCTTTTTATAAGTAAGTAGGTATCATATACATAAGTCCTGCATTTTTTTGTTCCTCCACATCCCTTCAAGAAACCACTCCTTCCCAACTGTAGCTTGTGTGGTGCCAGTGGAGCTGATTCCCAACTCGCCACTCTGCCCCCACTCCTATACTCGATCCAGATCTGGCCAATGACATCTGGCCAATGACCATCACCGATACTTTCACTAGCACTATAAGGAAAAAACTCTCTTCCTCTGACATTGCAGGTGCTAAAGACCATGTAAGCATAGAGTAGACAGGACACCTTTGCTACTACAGGGAGACTTATTTAAAATGGAAGCTTAAAAAGCCAACCTGGAAGATAGAAACCAAATCCTGATGACATTATTTGAGCCCAGGGATCCAAACTTGCCTGAAGACTAGTTTTACCACTGGACTTTTCAGTTAAATGAGCCAATAAACTCTCTTTTATGCTTAAACTTGGGTTTTATCTGGACTTTTGTCATATACTACTCAACACATGCTAATGCAGGTATATTTCATTAAGTCAACATTATTTCTGTTTCTTCTATGCCTTATTTTAAATTTGTTACTCTATAATGTACTCTGTAATAATATTCTACAACTCTCAATAAATTAATCCACAAATTCAGTACAATCCCAATCTTAATCCCAATAGTATTCTAAGAGCTTTTTGTTGTTGTTGTTGTTGTTTGCCTGTTTTGGAACTAGGCAGAATTACTCCAAAGTTCACTGAGAGAAAAAACATTAAAATACCAAGAAAAATAGGAGGATATAATCAGATACTGAAACATAAAGCAAGAATGATAAACATAGGGTGGTAATAGAGTATGAACAAACAGCCATATAACAGAATCCAAAACTCTAGTATAATAGGAGTATTTGCCATATTTATTTTTTAATGTTTTTTTTTTTTTATTTATTTCTAGGAGAGAGAGAGAGAGACAGCATGAGCAGGGGAGGGTCAGAGAGAGAGGGAGTCACAGACTCTGAAACAGGCTCCAGGCTCTGAGCTGGCAGTCAGCACAGTGCCCGACGCGGGGCTCGAACCCACGAACTGCGAGATCATGACCTAAGCGAAAGTCAGATGCTTAACCGACTAAGCTACCCAGGCGCCCCTGTATTTGCCATATTTAATATATGGTAAATCAAGTAAAGGCTAATTTGATAAAGTATTTAATATTTAAGGACAATGAGCTAAATTTGGGGGAGAAAAATAACTAGATCTTTACCTTATTCATCATTCCAGAATAAATTCCAAAGAGATTTATGACTTAGATGTGAAAATTGAAGCCAGATTCTCAATATATATTGGTTGGCATATTATTGGCACAATCTTTAGCATTATCTGCTAAATTTTTAAATATTAATACCTTTTGACACAGCTTTTCAATTCTAGAAATTTCTCCTGTAGAAACACAATGTGTGTATAAAGATAAGTATAGACAATAGAGCACTGGAATATTGAAAATAATACACACCTGTGGAATAATTACATTGTCGAATAGCTATATCATGCAACCTCAGAGGGGCAATATCACAAACAAGAAGGTCAAATTGGTTCTTGGTGGGAGGTGGGGGGGGGAGAAACTTACTTTTTTATGTATAAAGCACAAATACACCTGACATACATAGATATACGGTATATATGTGGTATTGAAATTTCATGGAGGGGATGACAAAGAAAAAAATATCTAACCAAGCTTCCTGGGAAAATAATGGGGGAGGGAGGCTGAGAAAAACTCACCTATACAATTCATTACTATCCACCTGTTAAAAAGAATGAGGTAGATGTATATTGACAAAAGAGGATGTCCAAGATGCATGAGTTTTAAAAATCCAAGGTTTTTAAAAAACAAAAAATGTAGATAGTCTTGTGGTGAGAAAGGGCTTCTTAAATGTGACTCCAAATCCCAATACTCTTAAAGTTTAGGTTGAACTACACAAAATTAAAAATTATTGCATGGTGGGGCGCCTGGGTGGCTTAGTCGGTTAAGCGTCCGACTTTCGCTTGGGTCATGATCTCGCGGTTCGTGGGTTCGAGCCCCGCGTCGGGCTCTGGGCTGGCTGCCAGCTCAGAGCCTGGAGCCTGTTTCAGTCTGTGACTCCCTCTCTCTCTGACCCTCCCCTGCTCACACTCTCTCTATCAAAAATTATTGCATGGTGGGGCGCCTGGGTGGCTTAGTCGGTTAAGCGTCCGACTTTCGCTTGGGTCATGATCTCGCGGTTCGTGGGTTCGAGCCCCGCGTCGGGCTCTGGGCTGGCTGCCAGCTCAGAGCCTGGAGCCTGTTTCAGTCTGTGACTCCCTCTCTCTCTGACCCTCCCCTGCTCACACTCTCTCTATCTCTCTCTCTCCTAGAAATAAATAAAACATTAAAATTAAAAAAAAAAAAATTATTGCATGGTGAAATAAACCTACCCACCAACCCCCCTACACACACACACACACACACACACACATTTAAAATTAAAGTTGAAACAACAAGAGAAAATATTTGCAAAACAACATGACACAGCATATGTTATTAATATACAAAGAGTTCCTACATGTCAATAAAAAGGTTTAACACCCTAACAAACACACCTGGTGGAGAACATGAATAAGCAAATCACACACACACATACTAAGTAAGCATATAAAATATTTTTATTCTTGCTAGTTAAGAAATATAAGTAATCCCAACAATGAGATAACATGTTTTCATTGGATTAGCCAAGTTTACAAAAGTTGGTATTAGCAGAGATAGGAGATAGGGCTCTGTCAGAGTGTACATAGGGACAGCCCTTCTGAAGTACAGTTTGGCAACATGTATCAAAATGTTAAATATGCATACCTTTGAATCAGCAATGATACTTCTAAGAATATATCCAAAGGTGGTAATCAAATAAATCAGAAAAGATACATGTGCAAGAATGTTTCTAACAACATTGGTTAAAAATTGGGACCAACTGAAAGTTTTATAAATAAGAGTCTAAATGTGCTTTTGAGTGAAAAGAGCTTGTTACAAAGCCTCATGTTCATTTTTTTAATGTTTGTTTATTTTTGAGAGAGAGAAAGAGAGAGTGAGCAAGGGTCACTGTTGGAGGTTGGAGTGGGGGGAGCCAGAGGATCTGAAGCAGGCTCTGTGCTGACAGTAGAGAGCCCTATGTGGAGCTCCAGTCAGAAACCACAAGATTGTGACCTGAGCCAAAATCGGCTGCCTAACCAACTGAGCCATCCAGGCGCCCCCAATGCATCATGTTCACTGTAATGCTATTTATATGTTATGTGTAAGTATACGTAGAAACAATATTTTTTTAAATGTTAGTGGAAATTTCTGGTGGGATTTCAAGTGAGTTTCAAACTTATGTAAAAATGGGAGAATAGTATGAACTCCTGCGGACTCCCCTACTCAGCTTCAACTCATATCCAAGCTTATTTCATCTATATTCCTACCTACTCCCTCTCCCAACCCAATTTTTGAAGCAAATCTAAAATATTTTATCCTTAAAATACATACCTCTAAGAGGTAAGGATGATTCTAAAACAATCTCAAGGCCATTATCATATCTAAAAAAAAACTCATAACATTTCCTTTATAAAGTCAATTATGTCTAATCAGTTTTCAAATTTTTGTTGTCTTATAAAAGTTAGACTGTTTTACAGTTAGGACCATACATTACAATTTGTTCATATATTTCCTAATCTACAGATTCTCTCTCCCTCTATTTCCTTCTCTCTCTCTCTCTCACTCTCTCTTTCTCTCTCTCAGTCTCTCACCCCCACCACCTCCCTCCTCCTCTCCCTCTCCCAATTTATTTGGGTAAGTAATTGGGTTGTTTGAACTTGGGAGTTTTGAGAGTAGACCTGGGCCTAACATTTACAGACCTGGGACAACAGTACAAGCGGAGCCACAAATACCATTTATCTAAATACTTAAATGCTGTCACTCCAGCTAACAGTTAAATATGTTCTGTACTCTTGCCTTGACAAATAAACCCTCTTCATGACTTGGAAGGCCAAGTTAAACTTTAGAATCCTCAAAAAAATAAAAAGAAAGAAAAGAAAAAGAAAAATATTAGAATCCTCAGACTCCTTGGAGGTCCTCACTGGCTTGTGGTTGCACAGAGGAGCTGGCAGATGCCCGACAGCCTGTCCCATTTTCCTTCCACCTCTGCCCCCATCTCCTTCTCAAGGACACCCCAGCCCATGTGTCCAAGCCCAATCTACACCCTCTTCAAACACCCACCACTGGCTGGACCGTCCAAACTTGGGAAGGAAAACTAGAGGACAGGCCCATGCAGGCCCTGAAAACAGGCATGGGTTGCACAGACTGGAAGCTCGAGTTCTAAGTAGCCAGAACATGGTGCGGAAGGGGAGACATCAACTCTAGGAAGATTGCCTTTTTAATGTAGCTTTGTTTTATAACTCATATAAAATATTTACATCGTGCTAAAGTCAAATCTATAAAACAAGAACTATCAGAGAAAAATCTAGATTCTACCCCTGTCCTTCCTGTCCTATCCTTCCCTCACTATACAAATAACCATTTATTTTGCTTATTTATCCTTCTGTTCTTTTAGATGTATAAGCAACTCTGATCTCCTTTTTAAAGTAAATTATAGTATACTGTGCACTCAACTCACTCATTGAAAGTGTGCAATTTTATTATTTTTAGTATATTCACAAAGTTGTACCACAAGTTTAGAACATTTTAATAACCCCAAGACACCCTTTATGCCTTAGTCACCCCTTAGCAATCTCCCAATCCTCCGTAGCCTTAGGCAACCATTAATCTGCTTTCCGTCTCTATAGATTTGCCTACTCTGAGTATTTCATATAAATGGAATCATATGATATGTGGTCTTTGTGTCTGGCTTTTTTAATTTACAGAATATTTTCAAGATTCATTCAGTTGTATGTGTGTCAGTACTTCACTACTTCCTATTGCCAAAGAGATTCCATTATATGGTTGTACCACATGTTATTTATCCATTTGTCAGTTGATAGACATTTGGGTTGTTTCTACTTTTTGGCTATTGTGAATAATGGTGCTATGAACATGTGTGTACAAGTTATTGTGCAGTGTAGACTTACATTTTCATTTCTCTTGAGTGATAGCTTGGTCATGTATAGTATCTCCGTGTTTAACATTTTTTAAATTTTTTGTTTATTTTTGAGAGAGAGAAAGAATGCGTGTACGCATGTGCACACGTCGGGGAGGGGCAGAGAGAGAGGGAGACACAAAATCTGAAGCAGGCTCCAGGCTCTGCGCTGTCAACACAGAGCCTAACACAGGGCTCAAACCTACAAACCGGGAGATCATGACCTGAGCTGAAGTTGGACGCTTAACTGACTGAGCCACCCATGCACCCCTTTCATGTTTAACATTTAGAAGAGCTGTCAAACTGTTTTTCAAAGCAGCTGCACCATTTTACATCCCCCCTCCAACAATGTGGCTTCCAATGTCTTCACATTCTCACCACCACTTGCTACTGTCCATCTTTTCTATAATAGAAAAGACACCCCCATCTTAGTGGGAGTGAAGTGAAATTTCATTGTGGGTTTGATTTTCATTTTCCTAATACTAAGGATGTAGAGCATCTTTTCATGTGCTTATTGGCCATTTATATATCCTCTTAGAGAAATAGCTGTTCAAATCCTTCACCCATGTATCAATTGGGTTCTTTCAGGGTTGTTGTTTTTTTTTAATGTTTATTACTTTTGAGAGAGAGACAGAGTGTGAGCAGGGAGACACAGAGTCTGAAGTGGGCTCCAGGCTTTGAGCTGTCAACACAGACCCCAATGCAGAGCTCGAACTCCTAAACCGTGAGATCATGACCTGAGCCGAAGTCAGATCCTTAACCAACTGAGCCACCCAGGCATCTCAGTTCTTTTTTATTCTATTTGATTATCCATTTGATATACAGTTCAGTTCCTTTATTTCTGTTTGTATTCAGTTTTAGGACTTCTCTCCCA